TATCTATATCTATATCTATATCTATATCTATATCTATATCTATATCTATATCTATATCTATATCTATATCTATATCTATATCTATATCTATATCTATCTATCTATCTATCTATCTATCTATCTATCTATCTATCTATCTATCTATCTATCTATCTATCTATCTATTTGTATCAAGGATTAATTGTACATATGGCATAAAATAAGGTTAAAAATAAGGTCCCCCAAACTGTCAAGGATGAAATTGTTTTTAATTTTTTTTTTCTTTTTTCTTTTTTTCCCTTTCCTTTCTCACATTTATGTACGTGTTGTTTGTCTATTTTTATTGGAAAATTTATAAAGTTTATTTAAATAATAATAATTGCAGCCCGCAGATCACCTGAGCTGCAATGGGGGAGATGTTCCATATCTCCAGAGCACCTCCCCCACTGCCAGACTGCCAGCACCCCCTTCGCCAATGGTTGCACTGCCCTGCATGAGTTCCATGGTGGCCCTGTAGTGGAATGAAGGAAGGAGGGGGAGATCGCCCCTTCCTCCTTTGCATCCCAAAGCCAGGCTCCCCTTCCCCAATGGTTCTTCAAAGTCCATGAAGTTTTGCATGGAGAATTAGATCACTTCCCACAGGGTTGGCCTCAGCATTCACTTTGGATGGTGAACAGAAGAGCTTTGCTCTTTTTCTCTATTGCCTTTGAAATTACTCCCCCCTTTCACTTTTTGCCTTAAAATTCTGGGCTCTGGCAGTAGGGTCGCTTCATCCTTTCCCTAGGAGTGTCTTGCCAGCATCCTCTTGATGGCCTTCCCATCTCCTCTCACAGTTCCCAGGGAGGGAGACAGAGAAAAAATCAAAAGGGTGCCTGGACTCATGGCACTTTGTTTTGATTTGTATGCCATGATCCATGAGAGACCTTTGGTGAGGTAGGTGAGCCCATAATTCTTAGCTGCTGGATGGAGGGCTAGGGTAAGCCTTCCTTTGGGACAGCCATTCTCTTTCAGTCCAAGGGATTTTTCCTACATATTTACATGTATTATTATTTCCTTCATAAATTAAGAACTTGAAAATCATTTATCTATCAGCCTTAAATGATGGATAGGGGATGGTGGTGGTGGTGGTGATGATGATATATGCATACATAGAAAGAGTTCTGGACCAGGAACAGAGAGATGAAAGTTCTATTTCTCTTTTATGCATGGTCAGCCAGATGGATGACTCTGGATCTTTTGCTTTCTCTCAGCCCTAGACTGAAGAAAGTCATAAAAATTTCTCTATTACCCAGTATTGGATCAGCATGATAGTTAATGGTCCTTAAACCTTAATGAAGAGATCACACATATATAGACACAAACACACTTAATATGATGATGTGCATGGACTAATAATGATTACTATTCTACTAGTTATTCTACTAAAATCTAGTTAATCTACTAGATTCTAGCCCAGATTTTCAGACTCAGTTGCGAAAGTCAAATATTTGCTCAGATGTGTAGTCATGAAAATTAACATCATGGATCTTTGCTCTGAACCTGATGAAAAACTACTACTCCATCTATTTCAATTTGATTCACCTTTGGACAAAATTTCCAAAGGTCTAAGGTTATAGGGCAAGAGAGAAAACAGTTTACTTTACTTTTTTGAAGTGTGATAAGCCAAAAGTCTATTTATCCATGTTCTGGAAAAAAAAACGCAGACATTTCTTGAGGCAATACTTGTCTTTAACAAACAAAATGGGCAAATATTTTATTACTGTAATTATTAACAAGTGTTCTCCTTTTGACCTTCCCATGGGTACAGGATAAGGTGGGTGGTGATCCAGGGTGATATACTATAAAAGTTCCATCTGTCCATGTGTTCTTCCTACCTTGTCCTCTCTAGCCCCAAAACAATTTGGAAACATGAAGTGGGTAATATTCATTCCTTTGCTTTGCTTGGTAAGCTTTGCTGAATTGAAAAACATACCCCGAAGATATCGGCATGTTGGTATGATATTATCTATTTCTCATTCTCTCTCTCTCTTTTTTTTTTAAAGTTTTCATGTCTTCATTTGATTGCTCAGATTTGTATTGAATTCATACTGCTACTTTGGAAACACAGAGGAAAAGTTTATGGGAATTGCATGTTACATCAATTGAGTTTCCAAACTGTCCCCTAGTTTCTATTCAAACTGTATAAATATTTTATATTTTCAATTGGATTTTTATCCCAAGAATTTCCCAATGAATCATGTTTGCTTTATTATTATTGTCTATAAAAGATAGATTTTGACGATTATGGTTTATGTATATTATATGCTTTCTCTATATTATTGTCTATACAATTGATAGCATTTGATGGTTATGGTTAGCAATATTTAGATGGTAAGACATTCCCCACAATAATTCCAAAATGGTATTTATGTGCCTACTGATCTTTAATGTCTAAATATTTTCTATGCCCCAAGTCATAGCATTCTCTATTCCAGATCCTGACATATCTTGCAAGAAAAGTATAATGCTATAAATTTTTACTAAATATTACTAAGATGTTCTTGTTCAGTTGATTTTTGTTAACCTCAGAATATTTCAAAATGCTAAGCAGAGTCATATCAAGTTAGTTGGAATATAGTGGACCACTAAGAAATATCAGACAGAAGGCATCTAAACAACTTGTGACAAGAAATGGTAAAACCAATTTATTTTATTGCCATGAAAACCATTTAGGATGTCTTCAAATAGTTCCTGGGAATTGCATTACATGTATTATTTTCTTTTGTTTCATTATAAAGCAAATGAAATTTACACATAGTTTTTGTAATTATTTTATTTATATTATTGGCCAAATTTGCAGTATATTAGAGTATATTCTGAAGATTACAGGGCCTCCTCAGTCTTTGTAATATTTGAAATAATTTAGTAATCATGACTTTTTTAATAGTGAGTAAAATTCACTACTTTTTTTACAGATGACCATCATTTGACCATCAGTCTTGCCTCTCAAATATCAGCTGCTGATTTTGGTGCTGTGTAAGTATTCCAGAAAATTGTGCTATAAATTATACATCTAAATAATAAAAGATGCACAGAAATTGAAAATTATAGTGATGGTTTGCAATAAAAAAGTATAAAATAACCATAAAATGGCTATTATTCTTCCTGTGAAAAGAAATAAAATTCTTCATAATTCAGCATTTGTTTATATATCTAATTTTAACAGACTAAGAAGGAGACCTAGTGTAATTCTCATATCTCGGGATATATTAGTTTCTTGTTTTTGCCTTCAGAAGGGAGAATGTCTCTCTTGCTCTAGTCATTTCTTTCCTAATGTTGGAGAATCCTGAGCATGAAACTTTGAAGATCAAAACAAGATGAATCTAGAGTCCAGGCACTTCCCAGAGCTTTATACATTTTCCACTTGCTTGTAGAATATGTTCCCAGTAAAAGAGAAAATTCATAGCTCAGGCTGAATTGTGGACTCCTGGGTGCTCTGATGATTTTATCCAGTTATTAAAAAAAAAAGAAATTTCTCCTGAAATCACTAATCAGAGTATGATGCCTTTCTATCTCCCCACTAAATTAATCAAGTTAATCTTTAAAAATAACACCCAATACCCAATCCGATTTTGCTTGGTACATTCTATCTGAATAATACATCCAGAATAATTAAATACATAGTTAAACAATAGATCTAAATATTAAAAACAAATACTATAATAAAAATTTTATAATAACATCAATACCATAATCTTATTAAACTCTTTAATTAAAACTCAATATTCTAAACCTCCCCTCATATTATTAAATTTTAAAACCAATCATTATTAACATTTCAACATTTTAATCTCTTATCAACTCTTAAGCCATTTAAGTTTTCTATTTCTAATACAATACTACAATATCATCTTATGTACCTTGCAAAATCTCTTTGAAGAAATTATACTTATCCTTTATCCCTAAAAAGATTCCTTTTTTCCCATTTAATTTCAAAACTTTGTAGCTTTTCTCCACCTTTTCCCTTTCTTTCTTCTCCCAACAAACCTTTCTACCCCCCCTTCTTCTAGCCTCTGCCTTACTGGCTTCCCTTCTCTGTCGTATTCCTCTTCCCTTTTGTTTACTATCATTATATTGATTTTGCACCTTATTTTTCCCTTTCTTAAATGTTTTTTTAAATCTTAACTCCTTTATTTCTCTTCCTTTCCCTCTTCCTTCTTTCTTGGTCGAGTTCTGAGATTTATTAAAGATGGCTTCCTCTCCTTCTTCTTCTTCTGCTGTCTTCATCTGTTGTAATGTTTGTTGATAGTTAATGAGCGCCATTTCTAAAAAAAGGAAGGCTTATTTCATACCAGCTTTACCATTTTTTTTTGCTTGTTCATAATCTTTTCTCAGTTCCTCAAAAGAAGGAGCCATTATAAATCTTTTCTTTTCTTTTCTCTTACAACAACCAGAATATTCCAAAGGAAAAATAAAACAATCCCAAAGTTATCAATCAGTCCAAACCAAGGCAGAGTTCTCACTTTCTCCTCCTAGGGTAGTATCAATCAGAGAAAAAGAAAGTCCAAATCTGTTTCTTAAAATCTTAAAATCTTATTGCAATATATTTTAGTCTTCAAATCCTTAAGGCATCTCCTCCAACAAAGTCTTAGCATACAAATATTTTTTTTTTAGTCCTCTCTTTTCCCACTCATCGCTTAAAGCCAGTTTTCACCTAAAAAAAATAGGTTTCTTAATATTCACTTTTTATTCCGTAGAAAAAGAGGGTAAGCTTTCCTTTCAGCACCATCAAACTGCCGCTTTTTTCCTCTTCTCGAAGGTATCATTCAGAAAGTCATACTTTTCAGGAATTTTGTTAAATATGTCTTAGAGTCCTAGGAACCAAGAAAAACTTTCTCCTTTCGAACACTTTCTCCACTTCCTCCTGCGCATTCTTACCCGGCTGCCAGCTTCTTTGTGGCGGCCATTACGGACCGCCGCTGCACCGTCCTGGGAAGAGGGGGTTCTGCCGGCTGGGGAGGGGGTCTGCAACACCCCCAAACCCCTCTCCGGATCCCCCTACCTTCAGCTGCCCCTGCAGGGCAGCCTAGCTCTGTACCCGTCCGGATCGGAGCCCCAAAAACGGCTAGCGCGGCAGGGATCGTGCAGCTTCGCAAATCCCTGCTGCTCGCGAAGCCGACAAACCGGAAGTTATTGTATAATGTGTTGTTAATCACAAACTGTTTTCTTAATCACTTGTGCTTTTTTCTCCCAGTACCTTAATTTTAGTCACTCAAAGTATACCAAATGTCACACTTGAGGATGTGAAAAAATTGTCCGCAGATGTTACAGCACTTCACCAGAAATGTGTTGCTGATGGATTTTCAGGCCCACAATGTGCAAAGCCTTTGGTAAGTGTTTGGAAGCTAAATTGGAGTACATATAGACATATAGATTAACTAAGTACTTACAAGATCCTAAATGAGTTAGTCACCAGAATCAAAATTTATTCTTCCAAACTTTCAGGTTTGAAGTGGAGCCCATCATCAGTATTTACAGTTCTGTTTAGCTAGAGCTTTTTGGCATATGTTTAAGGGTAAAATAAGTGTATTAGCTCCATTCCTAAGAAACCAATTTCCTTCAGATCAAAATCCTTGACATTTCTGTCTGTCCTTCAAGCTTCCAACCAGACTGCTATATCTGACTTGCCATGTTAATGATACCTCCCCAAATTACTTATCCCTGCTCTCAGTTACATTTTATTAACTTGGGTTATTAGACAAGTTATAGCCGGCAGGTTCATACACTAATCTAAAAATCAAACCTAGCACAATTTGTGAACCAAATTATCATTTCTGAACTCCATTAGGATGCCCCCTTTTACTAGAAAACTTATGCAAACTTACTCAACAAATACTCAGAGCATCTTACTTGCTTGCTTACTTACTTACTTACTTACTTACTGTTGTATCCTTTAACTCAGTGTTTGCCAACTTGGAAAGTCTGAGATCCAAAGACTTCAGCTTTCAGAACGCCCCAGCTAGCATGACCACTGCCAGCAAATCAGAGTGTTAGTCATTATCTCTGGAAATTTACACACACACACACACACACACACACACATGAATATATTATCTGATTAGCCCTGTGGAGCAATAAAAGATGGGCAGAAACACACTTTAACTTTTTTTATTTCTAATTTCTTTTGATTTTTTTTTTGGAGGGGGGAAGTATAAGGTATACAAGCAGAAAATATCTGATCTCCCATATATGAATCTGGATCCCAATCTCATATCATCTGAGTTAAAGAAAGATTAATAGAATGTGGAACTAATGTCTCATTTTCCCCCAAGTAGTGCTTATTTAAGAGCCATATTTTTTTCCTGTTCTCTAGGGTATAGTTTTTCTGGATGTACTCTGCCATGATGAAGAGTTTTCCAACAAATATGGAATTAATGACTGTTGTGCTAAGGCTGATCCAGACAGAAATGAATGTGTTTTGTCCAATAAAATCTCATCTAGAGGAAGTATTCCTCCCTTTGTTCATCCTACTGCAGAACAAGCTTGCCAAGTATATGAGAATAACAGAGATGCTGCTCTAACCCAGTAAGTCAGTTGGCTGCAAGTTATAGCATAGAATCATTAATTCTTGTTTAAGTGAATGACAGTAATATAAAATTGCACATACTCTTTAATTTCATTTATCAAATGCAAACAACACATGATCTTTATTTATTGTTTTTAACAGGGCATTGCTGCTTACACTTTCATTCAACTATCCTTCACTTCTTCCAGATAGTGTAGCATAGTTAGATAATTCTGGAAATGTAAGAAAGAAAGGGATAATAATATATAATCATGCCTATTATTTCAGATGTGAAACACAACATCAAAGTGAAAACAACAAGTACATATGCACAGACAGGCATATTATCTAAAATGAGGAGCTCCAACCATGTATCTTCTCAATAATAATAACATTTAAAAAAAACATGCTGGAATGCGAGCATAAACTCTCAGTGATCTCAGACCTAACCTTATTTCAGATCTTGTTGTTGCATAAGACTACTATTCTGCCCATCATCACTATTGGATACCAACTCTGAAATTCATCCTCATTAGGCTATTAGAGAACTGTGGTTTTGGTTAAGTTTAAAAAAACTCATCTGCCTTTTTTTTTTTTTTTAATGTAACATAACTATTATTTTATCAGATTCTAAAGGGCACAGATACAGACTTTGAATATGAGCTGTATACAAGTATAGTAGTGATTGATCAAATTTCTCTGATCAAAATCTAGTGAGAGATGCATCTAAAATACATGCTGCTGAAATTTGAGTAATAAATTTAAGAAGAGAAAACTTTGAGAACTTTTTTTTTTAAAAAAATCATTGATCTACATTATCCTACACTCAAATTTATTACTAGACAAAATGATGGGTTAGATCTATTTTATTAAAATAAATTGTATTTTATTAAAACCAATGAATTTTAAGCAGATAGGCTGTGTATATTTTTGGTTTCTTGTCTAGGGATTTAATGTTTTTTCACTCTTTCTAGAATTTTCTGTAATTTTTCCTAAATATTTCCCTTTCCACTGAAAACAATTTCAGAGCAAGAAATGAAAGAATTCTTTGGTGTGTATATATATACCATACATAATACCATACATATATACCATACATATATACCACATATATATATATATACCATATATATATACACACACACATATGTATGTGTGTGTGTATATATATATGTATTATATATATATATACACCAAAGATTTATAGTATATATGTATGGTATTATGTATGGTATATATATAC